AAGCTATGGGACTAACATAATGAGGGATATGGAACTACTTACAGAGAAGTGAAATATGCCATTTTCAGGAGTGATAATGATGTATACTGTACCTGGTTTCAGGTTTTTAAAAACATGCTAGTTTTTTCAGCAATGCTTAAGTAATGATTAAAGTTAAGTGCTGAAAATGAACTTTTATCTCTTAATTCCTTTTCACAGGAATTAGAAAAGTCATTTTCTAAAATTGTCTTTATATACTGACAATGGTTTTAATTTTACACAGATGTATAAGAAGTTAATGAAAATTGTCAGATTAATTTTGTCCTCTGGCAGAGGAACAGGGAGTAGTATGCACCCCTATAGGCATGAGAGGAATTGCCCTTTTGTCACTTCATGACTTTGCAGGCTGAACTGTATGGAACTTTAACTAGAAAAAAAGTTTTGGTAAAGTTTGCTTATGAGTGTGGTCCAGTCTTCTAGTGGGCTTAAGTAGTTTGCTTTAATTTGAATACAATGGAGATTGCATTAATTGAATTTCTAAGTATCAGTTATGTATATTGCTGATTTAAAACCATCTTTTTTATCACCATATAGATGCACTAGGAACTAAAATATGATGGGAACAGGGGAAGAAAATCCAACCTGGTTAATGCAAGTTGTATCTAATTTTGAGCTGTACCTCTTGCCATACTATAGTTTACTAATTCTGAAACATAACTTGAGCAGAGAATCTGTTCCAGAAAAATATATTCTAATTGCAACAGTCTAGGTAAAATCTCTAGAATCTTTTTCTTTTTTGGAGTGCATCTTAACCAAAGAAGAGTAAAAATGTTAAAAGGTTGTAATTTGGAAAGAGTCATGAGATGCTGCTTCTTCGTTTTTGTTTGTTGGGAGTTTTTTGTGTATTTTTTTTTTTCCACTCATGTATGGTTTGTTTTTTCTTGTGTTTTTTACCTGCAGGGATGCCTGCAGTTTGTAATCCAGGCATGGTACCTGTGGCAATACCACCTCCTGCCGTCAACCCTCAGCATCTGTGTAATGAAGAGGACCTGAAATCTATCCAGGACATGTTTCCCAACATGGACAGGGAAGTAATCCGCTCAGTGCTAGAAGCTCAGAGGGGGAACAAGGATGCAGCTATCAACTCCTTGCTTCAGATGGCTGAAGAATCATAGATGCCTACTTTCTGCATAGTCCCCGTCCTCAATGCCACTTATTTTTACTTGCCAAGCCAGGGATTTAGCTAAAGGAAGAATTTCCCAACAGTTTCCTGTTAGCATATCTTGTGTGAAAGATTATATCCCTTTTTCCCTGGACATTTGGATCTTTTTCACTGTTCTTTCTCAATCTGTACATACTCAGTTTAGCTTATGTCCTACAGTATCGCATTGAAGCATCTTTACTATCAGCTGTGCCCTGTGTGGCTATATTCTGGTGGGCTGGAGAGCAATGCTGCTTTTTTCCTTCCTCTCCCCCTTTCCATAAACTTGTTCTTAAAAAGTAACTCTATGCAGTACAAGATTTACTACTGTTTGTTAGATTGAAAACAAATTATTTTCCATGGAGAGCTTGCTCTTTAAGCAGAACTGATTTGTTGAAATATTTAGGTTTCATCAGGTAGCCTATTTCTGCCAGAAATTAAAAGAAAGACCCTTTTCTTGTCCTGTGGTATTTAGTTATTGCTGTGATATATTCAACCATTTCTGACTGAAAATCTTACATTCAATAAGCTAAATTTCTTAGGTTGTGCTGCTGGTGTTTGTAATGAGCATCTTCTATTCAATCTAGTCATCGGACACCAAAGCAGTATATTCTGTGGTGTGCATTTGGGACTTTATCCTCCAGTACAATATTGTTATGTATCTGTAAAATCTTCAAAGGTAACTTTTAAGTAATACAGTATGTACTACTGTAGCAGAGAACAGAACTGAGCCCTGTTGTACTCCCACAGGTAATTGCACTCTTAACTACTACTTCTGCATTCCCACAGCTGTATAAGAGGATAAGTGCAGAAGGAAAGATTTTTGTACGTGAAAAATTACTGAAGCCATAAACAATTTTTAAAGATTTTGTCTTGCATTAAAAAAAGCAGAAATCTGTGATCTGGTTATAAGGCTTCTTTCTTTGCACCTATCTTTCAGCAAAGTTACCATTTCATATTAGTGGAAAAACTATTTTATTTTTCCTGTAATCTGAAGTAAGAAACATGAAAAGTAGCTTCAGAGTCTTTGAATAGTATTCTGAGTTGTTCAGTGACTTCCTAAACTGTGGTTGCTGTAGTCAATTTATCATTATTTGTTGCAGATGGAGTCACATTCTTTGTGAAAGAAAATTTATCATATCTGAGTTACAGTCTGATCCTCGGAAGAAGTTGGAGGTTGCTTGTATTTATTGTTAAGTGCTACTTTTTCAGATAACAATTAATTTTGGAGCTGCAGAATCTTACAGTATGCACTGGTTACACCTGTTGGATAAATTTCTGCAGTGTCTGTTTTTGTAGGCGGTAAAGTAATGCACTTTAAATAGTATGCACCAGTTTATTGTTCCAGTGATGTGCAATGTTGCTGTTTTATCTTTTTAATGTTTTATTTCAATTACTTTCTACGATAGCCATAGACCAGTATGTTTTGAAGAGCTGGAATGAATTTACACCGGAAATCTAGGCTCTTGAGTGATTAATGAGAACATTAAAGCCAGGCTTGGAATAGGGAAAAGGGACCCGTATTCTCTTCCTCCCCATACATTATTTCATGTCCCACTTGTAAAATGTTTTCTTTATTTAAATCTGCTGAAAAGCTGATTTTATCTTTGTTCACCCCTCACCAAGAAGCCTTTAGGTAGCACTGGCAGTAGAGCATGAATATTTATTTTTATGATTAGAAGTGATACTGAAACTGTTAAAATACAGCATGGAAAAATCCCAGTTTCTACCTTTTAAAACTCTTTTTGCAATGTACCATTTTAAGTTCTGTATTAATCCCTTACCATCTTAAATTTACTGTTAAAAGCATTGGTGTCTTTATATATCCTCCAATTGGCCTTTCAATAATGAAATTCAAGTTTGTGTGCTTTAGTTGTAGAGTCACCACATTTGTGTTTGCTAAAATAAAACAGGTGCTCTTCAAGAAACTAGTCTTATCCCTTCCCTACAATTATGGTAAATTTTGTGACTGAGTAGATGTAAAGGTATTCGGTCTCTGTAGCATGCTGATTTCTGACATCATCTCCCAGAATGGTTAATTTGGTAAGGATTTAATGCTTAGATATCTCCAAGAAGAGTCACTTGCTCTAACTTTTACACAGATAGCATAAATTGCTGGTGATGGAGAAATTCAGGGAAAATAAATATTTAAATATTTATATTAAAGCATTGAGATCCATAATACAGCTTTTTATAAACGGAACTAGTCATGTTTCAACTTAGTGGCTGGTTAATTGTACTGCATCCTGTTACAGCTGAATGTCAAGCACAGAATAAACAGCTTTCAATCCTAACCACCAGGAGGGGTAAGTGCAATTGTTAAATTAGCCAGGTTTATTCATAAGCTAGGGTCTGGGCTTCTGAGGGAGGCTCCTGTTCTTAGTTTTTTTGTTTTGTTCTAGGCAAATCATATGCAAAACAGGGTAGATTAATGAGTTGAAGTTGGGATACGTAGGAGCAGTACAGCTAGTAGATGGGTTTCAGATGAATGTTACATTATACATAAATATTATTGTGTGCATTTTTAATCTTGATTTAATTAAGTGTTATAGCTGAAACTCTGTCAGAATGTGCTACTTTATCTTGTTAAAAAGAATAAAACACTGATCATAAGCCCACTCAGCTTTTCAGCATACATATCATCTTGGTCAAACTGTTCATTGTTAGATTTGCATTGGAGAGATAGAAAAAAAACAAGGAGTGTTTAGTTATCCTAGAATCTGTGAAATTAAGGTATTGGAACTGAAAGTCTGGAACTTTTGAAAGTCTGACAAACAAGTTGTTGTTCATTATGGTTGTAGGTTTTGACAAAATGCTAAAGGAATAATACTGTTTGTTGCTGCTCTTCTGCTCAACAATTTCAGGCAGCTTGGAGCCAAAGCCAGCTAGCATCTGCTAAAAGTTAATGCTCTTAGTACTAGCTTGAGTCCTGCCAAGAGCCTAAATTTGCTTAAGGTAGGAACATTTTTTGTCTAGCTAGATCCTTGCTTTCTTCTGTACTACTCTTTGCATCTGCTAATGGTTCTCAGTGTTTTTTCCCATACAAATGTTATTGCTTGTTTGGCTGATATGTAATACCATACAGAAGATGTTTTTTTGCTGTATAAATTCTGAAGACATTGTTTCTCTGTATTGAGGTCCGGTGTCCAAATGTGTTTCTTGCACTCTAAAGAACATTAACTTTTTCATTCTAATTTAATAAATGTATCATCTAAATTAAATTGTATTATGTCTCTGTTGGAGAGCTCCACAATTTCAGTCTGTCTCAAATGTGTACAGTAAGTGTACCGAAATGTGTACAGTACAGAAGTGTACAGTAAACACTCGAAGTATTTTAAGTATTTTCATTGCTAGGTAGATGCCCATTTCTGCTTCCCCTAGGTGCTACTTTCTTAAGAAAATGTTAAGGTATTTCAGGTCTAGAGGGCAGAATGAGGCAGCAGTGAGGTTGGATGTCGAGGAGGGAAGAGCAGAGTGTGGGTGTGGAGGAAATGCTTTGCAGTATGAAGGGATTGAGAATTCTCTAGATGAGAGTAATAACCAAGGGAAGAGTTATTAAACAGACCTTGTTATGTACTATTTTAGCTACAATAAAAGCTGGCTTTGTTTGCTAATCTATAGTTAATGAGTGTTAAAGATCTGGTTTACATAGCATCTTTTTTAATTATGTGATTAATTGCAAAGCTGTCTTAACAGCTTAACAGTCTTCTTATTTAACAGCATTGCTATGCTCAGTGATTATTAATTAAGTGCTATTATTTAGTATTAGTGTATTATCAAGCTAATATTTTGGGTTTGACTGTCCAGTTCACAGTGTGTTTTTTATCAGGAGTTGATTTTTTTTTTGAGTTGCGAAGAATCTTTCACAACTGAAGTTCTTTTAATTTATTTCCTTAATTTACTTAGTACCTAATGTAAAATGAAATTGTGTTGAAATTGTGTTGAAATTGTGTTTTATCCTAGCCATTGAATGTCAATTTCTATCCTAATTTATGTTCTGAAGCTTACAGTTTGCTTTCACATTTCTCCAGTGTACTGTGAGAGATAAGAAAAGTGAGAATTAATTTACTTAAACAAATGTTGGTGTTATTTTGGCCCCAAAGCATCTATTTACCGTTTTAATATGATTAGCTTTTTCATTTCAATATTAATCAACCAGTGATGATGTGTGAGAGTGTAAAGAGCCATTGGTATATTTTGGATTTATTAAAGCTTTTAAGTACATCAGTAAGAGTGGAGCCTCTAGGAAGAAATGCAAATATGTGTTTTCTTAGAATAAGTAGAATAAATGAAAACTGATATTAATATTCTGCTGCAGTTTTAAGTTGTAGCCTACTGAAGACTTCAGCTTTCTCTCCTAGAGCTTCAGGAATCATAGAAAGATAGAATGCCAAGTTGGAGGGGACCTCGAGGATCATCTCGTCCAACCTTCCTAGGTACTGCTATAGTTTATATGAGATGGCTCAGCCCCCTGTGAAGCTGAGACTTAAAGCTGTCCAGTGTGGGGGAATCTACCACTCCATTTGGGAGATTATTCCAATGTTTCACTGTCCTCATGGTGAAAAATTTACCTCTTGTGTCCAATTGGAATCTCCCCAGAAGAGTTTTGTGCCCATTACCCCTTGTCTTTTCCATGTGACTCCTTGTAAATAGGGAGTCTCCATCTTCTTTGTAGCCACAGTTAAAGTACTGGAACATTGTAATAAGGTCTCCCCTAAGCCTTCTCAAGGCTGAACAAACCTAGTTCTCTCAGGCTTTCCTCATATGGCAGGTCATCCAGTCCTCTGATGATCCTTGTGGCCCTTCTCTGGACACTTTCCAGCCTGTCTACATCCTTTTTGTAAAGCAAGGACCAAAACTGAATGCAATACTCCAGGTGTGGTCTGACAAGTGCTGAGTAGAGTGGGGTAATGACTTCTTTTATCTCTGCTGGTGATTTTCCAGTTCAGCATCCTGTTCGCTTTCTTTGCTGCAACACACTGTTCACTCATGTTGAGCCTGTTACCCACCAAGACCCCCAGGTGCCTTTCCACAGAGCTGCTCTCCAGCCAGGTGGATCCCAGTCTGAACTGCACTCCCGGGTTATATGTTCCCAGATGCAAGACCTTACACTTATCTCTGTTAAACTTCATGAGGTTCC